TTCCCCAAAATAGGAATCAGGTGCAAGTTGGTTCCTCAAAATGACGATTTTGAAAGTTGGTTCCCCAAAATAGGAATCAGGTGCAAGTTGGTTCCCCAAAATAGGAATCAGGTGCAAGTTGGTTCCCCAAAATGACGATTTTGAAAGTTGGTTCCCCAAAATAGGAATTAGATGAAAGTTGGTTCCATTTTGGTGCAATTTTCCCTTTATAATATTCTTTCAAACTCTGTATCCTGAACTGTTTGATGATAAAATGAATTTATATTCCAATGAAGAATATTTTAACAGTAACTTGTGATTTGCAACTCAAAGCGGTAAAAGGATCTTTTAGTATTTGTGGCACGCGGAAAATTGATTGAAGCAACTACTAGAGTCTAGAGGAGATGTCTTATTCTAAATAAGTTGTCTTGGAGAGATGTAACTGTAATCGCTACCTGTTGTCCTTCTTGTGATGTAACTTTGCATGTTCTATGTCAATCTTATAACTAGAGTATCACTGTCACATTATTTTAAAAGCAGATTGTTGTTCATCCGACTCACTTGCATATAATGTGATTGAAGTTTGTTGATAAGCATTTTATCTTGGTATGTTCATGCATGTAGTAAGTTAAACAATTAGGTAAAACCATCGCCATTTACAGTTTAATCTCCAAAAGCTTAGCATGTATGACATGTACGAATAGCCCTACAACTAGCTTGATTATAATTAAACCTTCAATCATTTCGTTGTGGCATGATGCTTATTTCATCTAATGTAGATTCTTAAGCAAAGGGATTTGCATTTTTTATTCAAGGAAATATATGTAGAAGAAGAGTTCCTTCTCACATGTACAAATACTTCTCTTCCCGACCCTTGCAAAATCTGAGGAGCTATGATGTATTGGAGTTGTGCCACTAGAGTCATAACTTTTATGGCTGATTAGCGTGCAAAGGATGGTCGTGTTAAACAGGGTTAAAAGACAAACATAATTTTGATAGAAAATATCCCTTGAAACAGAACTGTAGTCTGCAGGGTGATATATAATCCTGTTCTTGCCTATCCAAATTAGTATGCGGTAATAACCTTAATTCATTTTTTGAGTTTAGAAATTTGCTCGACTTGTCCTTGTGTAAGGTCCTGGTCCAATAATTAGCAGTGATTTGCCGTTAGTTTACAAGGAAATATTCCCTGCTTTGTTAGTTATCGAGTTCCGTATTTACTTGACTTTTCGCAGATGGAGTCATATAGGGCATATAGTTAATTATAGTTATTTCCAATGATCGGACAAATGTCAGAAAGGAAATTTAATAGTATTTGCATTTGAATGATGTACTTGATGATGCTAGAAATCTACTATGGTAAATGGAACTAGGAGAGGCTGGGCATCAATCCAAGTTGACGACCAACCTCTCTTTTACATTATTTTGGTTGGAGTTTTGATCATGAAGAAGAGTTTGCTCCTCCCATGCTAGATATTCGACAATAATTTCACTAGGTAGATAATCATGTTTCAAAGCCAGCATCAACAATAGAACTCAAAAGAATCAACTAAATATAGAACATTGAAAAATAAAATAAATCTAGAACTTCAGAAAATCAACTAAAGATGTTGATATGCCCGACTAGTTGCAAATAAAATATATTTGAGCCTTACCTTATGGCTTAGTGAGAATATTTGCAAGTTGGTAATTAGTCTATTTTTAATTTGCATTGGGTGGAGTGATACATTTGATCGGGAGGCACTGTGTTGTTTTTGTGTTCCGAAAAAACGAGAGAACCTTTGGACAAAACACACTACCCTGACCTGGAAATAGGGCCGCCATACCAACAACACCTTCTTTAGAGAAATAAGATATTCTACCATCTCCTTCTTTAGTGAATGGACCCACCTTCTTGATTGGAAAAGAGTGCTACTGTAGAAAATACTTATTTGAAGATGGTGATGGCGCAAATACATTCCTTGGTTTTAACCCAACTCAAACTGAAGAAACTTATTCAATGATCACTGCTAATTGCTTTTGAAAGGGTTAGAACAACGGCGAAGATGCAGGAAGATGAACAAACCCAAACCTAGGGGTGTACAAAACACTATAAACCGTTCAACCCGCCTAACAACCCAATCAAACCCAACCTGCTAAACCGCCAAACCGTCAATTAAGAGGGTTGAAATTGGGTTAGCCTAGCTCAACCCAACCCGCCAACCTGCCGCTAATAAATACTAGTCTATTATTATATATATTAATAATAATGTGTAAAATTTTATATAACGTTTGTTGAGTTTATGTTTGTATTTCTTTTTAGCTAAATTTATACGTTACCAAAAGAGATTCACCACCAAAGAATGATGGCAAAGAATCTAATAGGAGAAAATTATTGAAACCGTTTTTTGCAGCAATAACAGTGGATATGCCGGAGAATATGAATAATGTTGAGAGGTATTTGGTTGATGAATCTATCAATCCAAAGACTCTCTCATTTGATGTTGTACTTTGGTGGAAAGAAAATGCTAGTACTTATAGCATTTCACTACAAGAACATTAGGTTTATAGAATGTCTAAAATGTATAAGCGTCATAATATGATACTTTTTAGGATGAAACCTAATATGATACTTTTTGGGTTGGCTTGAGATTTTTCCAAACCGCCATAATACGGTTGGGTTGTAAAAATGCCGTAAACCGCCCAACCTAACTCGTGTACACCCCTACTCAAAACACTAATGGGGAATATTATATGCGTTTGAGTAACTGTTAGATAATTGTACTTCCCGACTAGTCTCCTGTATTGCTTTAGAACCTTCATATGTTTTCCATCATCTGCAAGATGTTCCCATAGGGAGCATTAATTTGCATCGTAGTACACCCACTCAATAAGCAAGCATATCAGGAACATAATTGTGTTGAGATGGAAGAATCCTTTGTGGTGACATTGAAACTTCTATTATAATGCCATCCAAATATGCCACTAGTATGATTCATCTATCTCGATGATGTTGAAAGAACACATAATAATCTTGGGAACTCTATGTCATATCGAACACTAGGAGAACTTATGAAAGAAGTCCAAACCCTACTCTAGGGGACTGCTTCATAGTTGAGACCATATAATGAACGCCGTAAACCTCCCTTTGAGGCCTCCTCAATAACAAACCGAAGTGGATGTTCCACATACACCTCCTGCTCAAGAATGTTGTTAAGGAAGACATTCCTGATGTCCAACCAGTTAATGGCCTGGCAAAGACTATAGAAATTTGAACAATCGACATCTTGGCTATCAGGGAGATGACCTTGTTAGTCATCCCATCAGTCTTGGAGTAGCTTTTTGCAACCGAGCTTTCAAATGCAGTGACTTGTTAGGATTAAGCTCTACTGTGAACACCCATTTACGACCCACCATTTGTTTTCTAGGAGGAAGTTGTTCTAAATCCCAAATATGATTCCGTTATAGGGCATCCATTTTTTTTGGGGGGGGGGGTTGTGAGCTAGATAAGATTAATTGGTAGACATACGCGATGCAAATTTTTTTGGGACAGGA